AATTAGAAGTACAAAACGAGGATTTGTAAAGAAGAATGTCGGAGGATTTCGATATAGGCCAAGAGAAGACTGGTATTCCTTTGCTAAAGTAAGGAAACTTTGCTTCCTTTGCTCCTGTAAACAAACGTTGGTTTTCACGAGACTCACCGGCGCATGCGCAACGCCGACATCTTATGTCATCCTTCCGGAGCTGCTTCCGTGTACAACTGTTGGCGCAAGCTAGATTAAAGTGATTATTACGTTTTGAATATAAATATTTTTTTTACAAAAACGCATAGATTCGCTACAGGAGGCCTTTATTCACCCCCCGGGGCCATGTGAGGCACTTTTTATTATGGATGGATGCACTTTATTTCACTTCTTTTGAACTGATGAACTGCAACACCCGCTGACTGCCATTAAACAGCTTGGAAGATCAAAGACAATTTTTTATATAACTCCGATTGGATTCATCTGGCAGAAAGGAAGACATATACACCTAGGATGGTTTGAGGGTGAGTAAATAATGGGCTAATTTTCATTTTTGGGTGAACTAACCCTTTAAGTTTTGAAAATGAATACGCAGCTTTACACATCCTTAGTACTTAGAATCCTTACAAAATTATGAAATAAATACACATTTAAACATATTTTGAACACAAAAGAGTTTTTGTTACATCAGACTGTGCTTCAAGTGTCTGAGGGTCTCTTCTAATCTGCCTGGCTTGGATCCTAATCATCAATAAAAAAAAATGACACACACACTCTCATTAGTGAGAATCCAGTGGAGCACAGAAAATAAGAACCCAGATTTACGCCCATATCTTTCAATAGCCACATTAAGACATTAAAAAGCCCTGCCATGAAAACCACCCTTTTGGTCTAGAAAGCTTCCATACAGTACAGAAAGTACCTGTGTAAGTCCCAGCTGATCAAAATGTACCTTCTGCAACCAAGTTGGCAACCTGTGTACTCAATATGGGAAGACTTAAGGGTGGATGTTTGCTGTGTGATATTGAGGACTTTTATATTGCATATTTAAACATGTAAACCATGTTTGTTTGTGCCTAAACTTTATAAGTAGTACACATTTTGAGTCTCACCCACCAGAATGGCAGATAATATGGCCACAGCTGCTTGGTTCTCACATGGCGGGATTTGTATACAGTACGTGAACTCATTCAGGGATCTGCAGCAGAGATAAGCCACCACTCTCAATGTGCGCTCTGCAAATCATCGTGGCAACAACAAGTTGTTTCCAGATCTCTGTAGGGCTTTAGATCCTCACGTTCCTCTGAGACAGCAAGTGCAGAGTCCAATTCTGCGGTTGCCACAGCAACGCAGCTAACCTTTTCTCAATCCACTCCATCACCTCTGAAGAGAGCAATGCAGCACTCAGACACCTCATACTACCTAAACACTTCTTATATAAGTGCATTACGAAGTTAGCTGTGGTGAGAACTGCAGCGTAATGGAAAGAGAATGTTCCCTCTATGTGAAACAGCAGGGTCCATTTCTTATATCTCGTTTACCCTGTGCTTTATGAGGAGCCGGGTTAAGGTGGCATTTTAAGGTTCGGATTTCAAGTCTGAATGTCTAACAAAGAACTCAAGTGTTTATCAAATTGGTATGCTATAGTGCACAAACTAAAAGGGCTATTTTCAAGTCTACCACTCGATTACACCAAAGCAACTTCAAAAGGCGGCAATTAACAGAGCTTACAAATCAAAATAAAAGAGGGCTCAGGACATAGCCCTGATGTACCTCAAACCTTACACATAAATGCAAAACATTTCCGTGTTCTGAGTGAGTTGTATGACTATAGGCCAAGTTTGAATAAACATAACAAAATACACTCCCTGGGTCTAGATTAACCAGGAACATTTTCTTCAAGGAAAATGTCTGTTGCACAATAATTGGTTGAATACCCTGCCAATGTGATCAGCTGTTACTGTAAAAAAAAAAAAAAAAAACTATTAAAAATAAATGTAGCCAATTGAAATAAACCTGAAATAAAATAAAAATAAAATAAATGAAAAATAATTAGAAAACCAAATTAGAAAAAATAGAAATGTTGCCTTGACAACTAACTGAAAGAAATAATTTAAAGCTTAAGTACAAAAATTACTACAACTAAAATTAAAATGAAAACTGAAAGCATAAAGCATAAAAAGTTAATTCAAAATATTTATAAAGACTATAATAGCATATAAATACTACTAAAATAACACAATGTGATAATGTCCACAAATCAGCCTGAATTGGTCAAACTGGTGAGAAAAAGACTAAATTAAAGATGAACATCAGTGACTGCAACATTTCATGACAGTGAAAACATTCACGCAAAAGAATGTGACTATTAATAATAAAACAAATACTATGTAATAATATTAAAAAACTAAATAAAATAAAATAACATAAAAAATACATTAACTAAATATTTTTTGCCTTCATATTATTGTAGATATTATTGTTTGAAGCACTGTTAAAACATTTTTTTAAAACGCATACTTGATGGGACCTTCTATGCTGCCTTGATTTAATAAATAGAATGTTAACATAAACGTATATCATTTTAGCTGCTTGTTGATTGTCCCAAGTGTTTACTAAATGCTGCTTTATTGGCTTTGTATACCGGAAAACTGCAAAACATCAAATGGAAATGGAAGTTGAATTTCCTTTGGATAAAAAAAAAAAATCCCATAGTTAGAACTAGGGCTGCACGATTAATCGAATGCGATTGTCATGCGGCGATTCCATTTCGATTTATCGTGCAGCCCTAGTCAGAACAAGGACTTACAGGACTACTTTGCCCAGTCCGCCACCCACCGCTGAGATTATGATAATTTTCATAAATGCGCTCCTCAAACAAACAGACCAATTGGGGGTTGCTTTTTATAAACAGTCTACAGGTTGCTTTGTTCACCTGTGTGAAACAAGCTTGATTATCCACACATGCTCTGGTCACCATCTGTAAAATGACTGCATGGCTAGCGGCTCTAACCACAGATCTGTCTTTCTCTGTGAAATATGACATGCTATTCTGCGGCGATCAGATCAACAGCCTGAGGGGGGAGTTCAATGTGGCAGCTCTTTTCAGAAGTCACACACTAGAGGACAACAAACAGTCTACTTTACAATGGAAAACATGCATAAACATGTTTAGGCACTGAGATATGAGATATGAGATGAGAGAGAGAGAGAGAGAGAGATAGACTGATCAGCCTCTGGACATGTTACTGAACACTGAAAACCCTTAAAGCAATATGGCAGGTAAGAAAGGACAAAATTAGCACATATATAAATAATTATTTTTATCTTTTTTGTTTGACGATAAACCGTTTTTTTTCCAGCAACCGGATATGCTCTGGGTGCTCGTTGGGCAGATGTGTGTCAACGAGAAAGCAACTGTGAGAGTGTCATGCCAGTGTCCAGCTGTTGTCATTCCCACAGGGGTCTGAAAAAGAAGCTTGGACACTCAATCTCTGCTCATGTCCTCCATAATGACTGCACTCACATCCCACAATCCAGTTCACACAGCCAACTATGAACCTGTCAGACTATTACAATGAACTTTTGATCCAACAATCAGACACTGACTCAACGAGCATGGAACAAAATAAAAACATATGGACTTCCTTCAGTCATATTTCCAATAAAGTGCAAATGGGTCACCACATGCTGAATAAAAGCAGTTTGGATTTAAATTGAAATTCTAAAATGTATCAAATCCAAATTTTAAAAATTGTGGTTGAGCGATTGCCAATTATTATGATCTAAAACTAGTTTTAGTGGGGAAAAAAAGAAAGGAAAATATGCTAAAAAATGCACTATTAAGTTAACTTCTACCAAAGCTCAAATTAAGAAGCTAAAGTACATCTTAAAGTTACACCGTCCCTCCCACATTAAATTTAATTAAGTAAAAATAAAATGAAATGTTAAGTACAAGACTCTATGTTAATGGTTGTGCAATGTAAGCATCACATTTAAAGCATGCAAATATACTATAGACCAGACCAAAAACGCAACACTCAATTTGATTAAATATGCAAATCTATGTAATGTAATATCTATATCCATCAAGGGGTCCCTGACTTTAAAACAGTCTTAAACAACACTTTAACAGGAGAGGGAAACAGCCACAAGGAAATTCCATTTTCCTTTCCTCCTTCATGTTTGTTTCTCCACTTGTTCAACCGGATTAGGGTTTACATAGTCTGAACCCTGTTTATTCTAATTGGCAAATATCATCTGCAAAAGTGTAATAAAGAATATCCCACATATATAAGCTAAAAAATTCACAGGGGTATAAATATTTAAACTCAAAATCAGCTTTGGAAATCAAGGATAACATATTTAAATAGTACAATTTGAACCACTTTAGTGTTTTCACATCACACACTATGAAATACATAATACATATTTAAAAACAAATGGCGTATAATAAATAAGAGCTCACAAAAGCTGCTGAGCCACTACCATATGTCAGACCGACAGACCCTTACCCGGCATTCTCGCACCGACGGCGGCGAGGATTACGCAGATCAAGACCGCGGGCAGGAGGAGGGAGGCCCGGGCTCGCCGTGCGCTCCGGCTCGGGGAAAACAACATCCTTCACTGCGCTTCTCAAGTCCAGGACAGCAGATAAAACCTCCGGAGTGTCATTCCCACATGTGTGTGGGTCGGATGGACGTACACGACCGACAGAGACAAACCGGCCCGAATAAAGATGCGAGCTTCAACTCAAGAAGAGCGTTAAACCGCTGCCCGCGTGGTACAGAGCTAAAGATAGAGGAGAGAGATTGCGGCAGAAAGGGAGGAGGAGAAGGAGAAGGAGAACGTCCGCTGATAGACACGCTACAGGACAGATTAGAACAGCCACATGCAGCAGCGGGAGGATGAATGAGCTCGTGACGCAATGACGCTGACGTGGATCGGCTCTTCTCTCAGGTGAAGGAACATTCTGTTACTAACAAAATAAAAGATATTTCAGTTTTAAATAAAGAATTATTTGTTCCGGAAAAATGATATAATTATTTATTTGATAATAAAAAATTATTGCAGAGCATGTCATCAATGGGAACTTGCCATTAAAGGAATAATTCACCCCAAAATGAATATTTGCTGAAAATTTACTCAGAATGAGAGTCCAAACAGCTGATGAAAACATCACACTAATCCACGCGACTCCAGTCTATCAATTAACATCTTGTGAAAATCTGTATGTTTGTAATAAAACAATTCCATTAAGACATTTTTAACTTGAAAATGTTGCTTCTGGCTAAAAAAAATTTAAAAAAGTTCATATCCATAATATTGCTTTCTTCAGTAAAAGAAAAAGTAATCTCGTCTGAATCAGGAGAGAAATGCAAACAGATCAAACACCGTTTACAAGCAAAGTCTGAGTTCTAAACAAATAGGTAGGAGGATTTTGGCATGAGAGAGCAACCAGGGATGGACATTTTACCTGGGGGAAGCGTTATTTTCACTGATCTGTAACAGAGAATTCATTATATAGATCAGTGGTTATTATGGATTATGGACTCCTATTTTCACCAGAAGCAACAGTTTAAAGTTAAAAAGACTAAATGATGGACTTGTTTCTTACAAACACGCAACTTCTCACTTCATAAGATTTTAATTGCTGGACTGGAGTCAAGTGGATTATTATGTGTTTATAGGGCTGGACAATAATTCAATATCAATATGTATCGCGATATAATTTTTTTCAATAACGGTGATATGATTTTTAAACACATTTCCGATATTTCGATATACATTACCAGTGTTTCTCATACATTGATTTATTTGTGCCGTTTGACTTCGTTGAATTATCAGCTGTTTGGACTCTCATTTTGATGGCACCCATTCACTACAGAAGATCCATTGGTGAGCAAGTGATGTAATGCAAAATTTCTCCAAAATCTGTTCCGATGAAGAAACAAACTCATCTACATCTTGGGTGGCCTGAAAGTGAGTAAATATTCAGCTAATTTTCATTTTTGGGTGAGCTATTCCTAACAGCCTCTTAAGAGTCTTTTCAGTAAAATGTAAAAATGTTCAATGGCAAAAATGTACAAAAATATAAAATCCTAGTTTTGGAAGACAGACATTGTAAATAATAAACTGTCTTAAAATTACAAAATATAAAACACATGGCAGCTTGCCCAATCGGACATTCACGATAAATACTCTTGTGAGAAAACAGTTTAACCTTTAAGTTATATTGTTGGCTCTGAAATGTATGTAAGTGTGTTGCTATTGTGTTCCGCTATAGCATAAATATGATACTGAAATTTTAGTTTGGAAATATAAAGACAGTTTTGAATTAATTTCTGTTTTAAACAAAGCCACTGCTAGAAAGAACATGTTTTTTTTTAAATCTATTTGGCTTTTGAGTCCTTAAACTTTAGTTAGTGAAATATAACATAAAATATTACATATAATATGCAGTCTGAGGCATTTTTAATTTATTTGAGTAATTTACTGACTCTAAATGAACGGATAAAATAACATGGAAATTCAGATGTCATTTTTATGAAATTTAGAATTCATGCTTACTGATAGTGGCACCTAGTGGCCAAAGTTTCCACATGCAAACTGTTAGTTTTTTTCCTCATGCATTGCCTCTTGAGGACATGAATGAATGAATGAATGAATGAATGTGCAGGCACAAAGACATGTTTCCTGCATTATTTATTATGCATTATATTCCTGCTCCCAATCTGGGGTATCCAGGGCTGTTGACATCAAATGGCTCAAGGTCCTTGCCTGAGTACTGACAGAGATAATAAACAGGTATTAAATGCTGTAAAGATTTTTTTTTGATCACCATCATTTTCAGAGATCCATAACCATTGAGACTCAGGTGAAATCAAATGTAACACTAATAGTGAGACTTGCAAGTGTTTTAAGAAGTAGATACCTCAGATCTGAGAGACCTCTTCAAATTGCTTGGGTTCAAGGTGCGCAGTCTGGATGGCGGGAATTTATACAGAGGACGAGCCACTGCGAACCAAAGAGAAAACAATAGAGACATGAAAACTTACAAGGTGCATGAATGTATTATGATATCTCAGTGAGGTTAAAACTGAATGTTATAGTGCTGAGAGATTTGTGCCGCTTGCTTACCTGTGGATGGATCCAGTCCTGGGACAGAAGGCCAGGTAGGATGCACACAGAAGGTCTGGGCTTTTTCTACAGGGCTTTCTATGGTCAGTTTTGGTAGTGTCAACTGCAAAAGCATGATGCCAGAAACAAAGTCAATGCTAGACAAACAGGTATCAAACACTGTAACTTTCACTGATAAACCAATAAAGATTTTTTGCAAGTGTTTCAAGATACCTCTGTTTTGCTTGGACAAGATGTTAGATGTCTGGATGGTCGGAATTTGGCCAAAAAAGGAAGAGCCACTACAAATACATATGGATTCAAGACAAAAAAGGAAGTTAACTGCCTGATTGTTTGCACCAAGTGCAACTCTAAATTTTAAGGAGGCATACAAAATTTACATATCCATGAATATGCTGTGACATCTAACAAAGTGATGGTAAAATTGAATGTTATAGTGCTAAGATAAATGTGTTACATATAAGATATGTGGCTCCCACTCACCTCTGGGTTGATCCAGACTCAGGAAAGAAGGTCTAGTAGTGGCCTGTGGCCCTCTGTTGACAGTTTTTGGTAGTGTCAACTGCAAAAGCACAATGGAGGATTCACTGAAAACATATTTATTTGTATCAACGATATAAATTTAATCGGCTATTTCAGTAATTATTTTTCAAGTTCAACTTTTAGCCTAACAGCATTAGAACCTTTAAACAATTAATTATACTCTGACTTAGAGAGGCATGATTTGTTTATTGACATACACGCTAACGTTTTCTTACTTTTTCCTTGCGATCTCTTCTCTCCACATCAGGCCTTTTGTAAGCTAAACCAATAAAATAACACGTTTAAAAAGTAACATATTGTCCTTAAAAAAACAGGAAGAAAAAAAAACTTACTTGGTATTCGGATACTAACTCCGTGGCAAATCATTCCTCTGAAAGTAAAATTTGAAAAAAATATTTGATATGGCGTATGAACTGATGTATGCGTATGTGAGTAGACAGATGTAGTTGGTACCTGATGGACTCGTTTGCAAGACATGATTTCGATGAGAAAGTTATCAAAAAAACGTATATCATAGATAGATAGACTTACTTGGTATTCGGATACTAACTCCGTGGCAAATCATTCCTCTTAAAGTAAAATTTGAAAAAAATATTTGATATGGCGTATGAACTGATGTATGCGTATGTGAGTAGACAGATGTAGTTGGTACCTGATGGACTCGTTTGCAAGACATGATTTCGATGAGAAAGTTATCAAAAAAACGTATATCATAGATAGATAGATTTTGATAACTTCCTCATTTAACTCAATTTTAAATATCCAGTTTAAAAGTTAATGTTTCGTCAAAAATAAATAAATAAATCAAGAAGAGACACTTACCTGAACTTCCGACTTTTTCTTAAAGTAAAATGTTCTGATGCTGTCTGATTGAGTAAAAGCTATAGACTGACTCGTTTGTAAGGCTTACAAAGACAAAATCTTAAAAATCAGAATCTTCAGATGAACTACAACCAAGAAACTCTGTGCAAATGAGTTTTGTATGACGCCACAATAACTGAATACGTCACCTCAGTGTAAAAAATTCTATTCGAAGACACCAGGGAAAACCCTGAGAAAATAAATTAGTAAAACAATTGATTAAAATCCTGTTTATGCTATTTTGTTATAATTCATGCATGTGTATGTGTTAATTAATAAATTACATCGCAGCAATATAGAGACAATTTAGGGTCATAAACTTGATTTTAATGGCAAGTACTAACATTTCATCAGTCAATACAAAACAGCTATCAAAAAGATGCTATAAAAATCTTGTTCTGTCACAGCAACAGAATATTACATCACCTTGGCCCTCAAGAAATGCTTCATCTGACCCTTATAACAAACATCTTCATCTCAAGTTAATGTATAGAAAATATCTTAAGAAATAAATATAATCCCATCTAATCTGAATTATGCCCACACATTGAAGTTAATCAGTCATAAACCCTTTGTGAAACAAGAGGTACACAGGTCGACATCCTTTTGAAAACAGCCATCAGCGACACAATACAAGGTGTAGATTGTAATTAAGACTTGAAATGGAAAGGTTTGGGGCTGATATAATCATTCGACCGCATGCTATAAAGCGACAGATTGTATTAATCTCTGAGCTACATTATGGCTGTGTGACACTCAATGCAAAAGCTAGTCTAATAACATTGATGCATTTGAAATATTCTCAGATGATATGTCGAAAGCGATGAATCTAGTGTAAGCAGCACCTCTAGTGTGATGGTGAAGCTGTACGTGGGACAATGGAGGCTGTCAAAAATTGCTAAATTAATTTAAATATGTATGACTAATTGTCGTCATCATCACCCTGACAGCACAAATGATTTTCTCATTGCACAAAAACATATGTAAATATTACTATATAATCTGCCTGTGTCCTGGGCCTTCATGACAGACGCATGTTTTTGGTAGAGGAAAGGGCAACTCTCTCTCAAAAACGTCCCTTGACCAGTCACTACATGAAAGCAGGATGAATGCATTGGCTGCAAATATGCACACACATACACAAATACACAGATTTAGTATTGGCACATGATGAAATGCACAGAGTCTGTGACATAATGATAAAGGCCACCGGCCATGCCTTCCACACACACACACATGCAAACATGTTCAAATCATAGATCATTGATTTCCCTGATGTTTCTGTATCGAAAAATGTTAAACTGTGTTTTACTGGTCCATTCTCCCTCATTTAAACACTGTTTTTGGGGGTTTGGTCATAGGAGCCATGTGCTAAGGATGTCCTGAAGACTTCAAGCCACTTACACTTTAAGGATGAATA